TATGGGATGACTTCAACTTTTTCTTGATTCCACAGTGTTTTTACTTCTGCGCTAGTGGTAAGTACTTGCGAACCTTTTCTGTCTGCTTGTCAGCTATGTTATGTGGGGCAGGCACACTAATGTCTATTATGCAGGTAACTTGCTTCATTTTATCTTGAACTACGATATCTGGTTTGTTGTATTCCATGGTGTGATCTGTTTGAATTGTTCTATTCCAGTATATTTTATGGCTGTTAGTTTCTATAACTGGAGTCGGCTGGTACTTGTAATATGGGGTGCGGTCAGTTAGTATATTCGCAGCATAACAAATTTCTTGGTGAACTATTTTAGCCACGTTGTCGTGGCGCTTCAGATACTCAGTGGAAGCTAGGGGAGTGCAGCTCGTCAGGATATGCTCTATTGTTTCCGACTTGTTATGGCATATGCGACATCTATCTTCAATGCCTTCTTCTTTCATGATGTATTTTCTATAGTTTAAGGTTGGTATCACCTGATCTTGAATGCCAATCATGAAACCTTCAGTTTCCGAAAATAGCTCCCCACTCTTCAGCCATCCATGTGACGCTTCTGCATCAATGTGATCTGAGCTGAGCATGGCTGGATGTCTTCCATGAAGCTGTTTGGACTTCCATTGATGATACCATTGTTCGTCGGTGGTCACATGGGTTAGAGGTTCATACTGTTCATCCGACAGGTTCAGTGGTGTGAACTTGTAGTCAGCTGAAGCTATATTTCTGTGATATGCAGATGTTTCGCCCTTTCTATAAAAGAATCTCCTAAGGTTTTCTATATTCCGCAGGTTAGCTGCTTTAAGGTCAATCACGCCTCGTCCCCCTTTGGATCTTGGCAAGTAGAATCTTTCGATCGAACTCTTGGGATGTCTTGCTCTATGATTTGTAAATAAGACTCTTATGTTTCTGTTTAGCTGCTCTAAGTCAGAGTCTGTCCACTTGATTATTCCGAAGCTATATGTTATTGTCGGAATAGCATATGTGTTAATGGCCCTTACTTTGTGTATTGCGGACAGATGAGTCTTAAGTATTGATTTGACCCTACTCGTTAATCTTTGCTTTAGAGCTTCTTTCATATCTTTGTGTTTGATACCCCTTGCTTGATCTAGTCCCAAATATGTATAGCTCTCTTTCTCAGACATGCTTCTTATTGTCTGACCCTGCTCCAACATAAACCCTGGGTGATCTTCCCATATGCCTTTTCTAATAGCCCCAATCTTACACTTGTCCAGGCCAAACTCCATTCTTGTGTCAGCACTGTATTTCTTTATGGTTTTAAGCAACCTGTCCAGTCCATCCTTAGTGGCAGATATTAGTTTGATGTCATCCATGTAAGCTAGATGGCTTATTTGTAGGTTGTTCTGAAGCTTATAACCTTCGTTCTTCTTGTGCAGCATTCTAGATAGAGGTGCTAATACAATACAGTACCATAAAGCACTTAGTGCATCTCCCTGGAAGATACCTCTTTTAATGCTGATGGCACCGATGTTGATATTTTCTTCTTTATGGGTTATTACAAGATTAGTTTTCCATTGAGGCATAAGGTTTTGCAGCAATCTCACTATACTAGGGCTGATTTTATATATTTGGAGCATTTCAATTAATAGAGAGTGAGGAACACTGTCAAAGGCCTTTTTATAGTCAATGTATGCAACATACAGATCTTTCTTACAGCCCTTTGCTTCCTCCGTGATGATTGTATCTATTGTAAGTTGCTCTTTGCAGCCACGACTTCCCTTTTTGCAGCCTTTCTGTTCTTCTGGGAGCAGATGATGCCTTTCAAGGTGCTGGTAAATTTGATCGCATAAAATTGAAGTAATTATTTTATATATGGTTGGAAGACACGTAATTGGCCTGTATTTTGATGGGTCGCTCACAGAAGGGAATGTTTTAGGAAGCAAGTAGGTGTTTCCCGTTGTCAGAAATGCTGGAATGGATTCTGGATCTTGCAAGAGGCTTGTGCAAATCATCGCTAACGTTTCGTGTGTGCAAGTGAACTTTTTGAGCCAATAGTTATGGATGCCATCAGGTCCAGGCGCCTTCCAGTTCTGTGTTGTTTATAGATCTTTTAACATCCTCCACAGTTATGACGTTGTAGTGCATCATGGGTATTTTTTCGGTTTTCCTCTTTTCGTCCGCGAGCCAACTTGTTTTATTATTATGAGTCTTAGGGTTCTCCCATAGGTCAGCCCAATATGTTAATGCATCTCTAGCTTCTGGAGTTTTACCCGTAGTACTTACATCTTCGT